ATCCACGTCACTGGTAAGATTGGATCTCCAGTATCCACGTCACTGGTAAGATTGGATCTCCAGTATCCACGTCACTGGTAAGATTGGATCTCCAGTATCCACGTCACTGGTAAGATTGGATCTCCAGTATCCACGTCACTGGTAAGATTGGATCTCCAGTATCCACGTCACTGGTAAGATTGGATCTCCAGTATCCACGTCACTGGTAAGATTGGATCTCCAGTATCCACGTCACTGGTAAGATTGGATCTCCAGTATCCACGTCACTGGTAAGATTGGATCTCCAGTATCCACGTCACTGGTAAGATTGGATCTCCAGTATCCACGTCACTGGTAAGATTGGATCTCCAGTATCCACGTCACTGGTAAGATTGGATCTCCAGTATCCACGTCACTGGTAAGATTGGATCTCCAGTATCCACGTCACTGGTAAGATTGGATCTCCAGTATCCACGTCACTGGTAAGATTGGATCTCCAGTATCCACGTCACTGGTAAGATTGGATCTCCAGTATCCACGTCACTGGTAAGATTGGATCTCCAGTATCCACGTCACTGGTAAGATTGGATCTCCAGTATCCACGTCACTGGTAAGATTGGATCTCCAGTATCCACGTCACTGGTAAGATTGGATCTCCAGTATCCACGTCACTGGTAAGATTGGATCTCCAGTATCCACGTCACTGGTAAGATTGGATCTCCAGTATCCACGTCACTGGTAAGATTGGATCTCCAGTATCCTCGTCACTGGTAAGATTGGATCTCCAGTATCCTCGTCACTGGTAAGATTGGATCCCCAGTATCCACGTCACTGGTAAGACCCCGATCCCCAGTATCCACGTCACTGGTAAGACCCCGATCCCCAGTATCCACGTCACTGGTAAGACCCCGATCCCCAGTATCCACGTCACTGGTAAGACCCCGATCCCCAGTATCCACCTCACTGGTAAGACCCCGATCCCCAGTATCCACCTCACTGGTAAGACCCCGATCCCCAGTATCCACCTCACTGATAAGACCCCGATCCCCAGCATCCACGTCACTGCTAAGATCCCGATCCCCAGCATCCACGTCACTGGTAAGATCCCCAGCATCCACGTCACTGGTAAGATCCCGATCCCCAGCATCCACATCACTGGGAAGATCCCGATCCCCAGCATCCACGTCACTGGGAAGATCCCGATCCCCAGCATCCACGTCACTCCTCAGTAAGTATTCATATCACAAACTTTAGGCTGCCTCCTTTCCCTTGCAGGGTCCCATGGAGCTACCCTTGTGTGTGCTAGTAAGCTGTGGGTCTCCACAAGCATAGGGAGGCAAATTACTAGCCTCCTCCCCAAGCTAGTAGATGGATGGCTGCTGGACACTGCTCTGTCCTTTTGTGATCTTGTACTAGAAAGGAGGTTTAGGGTACCAGAGCTGAGAGAGTTGGAGCTGTTCCGAAACCAGATGACTACGTTTTCAGGCACAAATGTACAGAAATGCCATGCTGGGCATTGTAGGTTTGTTTGATCTGGAGTCATTATTGCGAGAAAAATTTGAGCTTTCAATATGAATTTAACATGATTTGACCTCATTTATATTCATATCTAAAGTAAAAGACAATTAATGCCTTAAGGCTTAGAACCAGGTTCATTTTTTAATGGGCAATTTATGGAAGATTTAAGAATCTGCAGCTGCCGCTTGTTTGTGTTTTTGTTTCCATTGGCGTTTTTTTACATTTTTAAAGCGATTTTAAACCCAAAAAAGTAATACTGCAGCTTTCCAGTCCTAAGGTGGAGCGGCTGCATCAGTTTTTTCTTTTTTTTCAGGCTTTTTTCTCTTTGCTTTTACTTGGTAATTCTGCGAGTAACAAAGTTTCTGCCCCATGGTGGTACGCTCATACCTTCCCTGTATCTATGGAGGGAACCATGCTTGTCACTCTGGCTGGACTTCAAACATGTCGTCCTTTTATTCATCTCCATTACATGGGTGTGTGGAGATGAGCGGTTTACAGAAGTAAGATAACTTTGTTATATGTTTCCAAGTCCGCTCACAGGAAGTGACAAGAGCAAGACCAACATGTGTTTTCTGTACTTGTTGAAAACGTGTTTAGCCTAAAAAAGAAAACGAATGCAGCCACTAGAAAACTAAGAACTAGTGAGCTGCAACATGTTAAATTTTTGTTCTTGAGTTTCTTACACTGTTTGCATGGATTTCCCTCTCTTGGAATACTATTGAGACACACAGAATCCTTGAAAAGACTTGCTGGTAAGATAGTGAGTGCAATGTGTTGTCATTCTTCCGTTTAATGTCAGACTACACTGCATTCTTCCAGTGGAGTGGTAGACATAGATGTTGGATGCCTTCCATGCAAATAGAAGGCTTTTTTTTTTTACTCAGGAGCATATGTGTTCTTCAAAAATAAGACGAGTCACAAAATACATGTTATCCTCATAGCCTTATCTCAGCTTTTTACTCTCCTTTTGTTAAAATGCAACATGCTCTCAATTAATAAAATTAAAAGAAAATTAAGTTTTTAAGAAATGAAAGATTGGCCATCAAAAGAAAGGGGGGGGGGGAAAAAGGGGGGGGGGGGGTATTAAAACTGGAGCAGTTGCCCATGGCAACCAATCGGCTTCTCTCCAGTTTTTTTCAGGTAAGATTTCAAAATGAAAGATAGAAGCTGATTGGTTGCCATACACAGCTGCTCCAGATTTTGTCTGCTCCAGTTGTGTTGAAGCCATGTGGATCCCAGAATCAATAATTGTTGCCTTACATCGCTCAATTCTTACCCAGACACCGCAAGAGACTTTTGGATTAGGCTCTGATCTGTCCATAGAAGGTCACTCCTAGTGTTTTGTATATGGGTGTTACTAAAGTGCACTTGAAACAGGCTATTTATATCTTCACTTTCTTCCTAACAAAAACCAAAGCAGATTCAGAGGAACAACGATCCTGTAAGGCTTTCCTAGTGACAAAGAGCACTTTAGATGAGATTAGATTCTATAGATTTACCCTCTCTGTTACAAGGGATCTCGGCACTTGCAGTGCAAGTATTTACAACATTCAAAGTAACACTAAACTCAGGAGTTAAATCTTAAAAATGCATTCAAGTGACTTAACTATTAACAAAAATGTATCTTATTTGTGTATCACTCGGCTGTAGTTCCTCAAATCAACTCTGAGCCTCCATTCACGTATAGCGTTTGCGTCTCTCACAAGGTTTTCTGTGCGGAAGACCGCACGGCACAAACGCTAAAATCTTTATAACTGCACAGATTCAGCGTGGAATCCGACCCTGAAATCGCGCTTGTACAGTTTTGCAGGACGCACAACTGAATATGGCTGAATATACCCGGGAGCCGCAAAAGTCTGAACAATGCACATTAGGGTGCATTGTTTTTTATGTTTAGAGCTGTTCCACGCGTATTGTACGTCTGACGGACGGACAACTGCTCCTGTGTGAATGGAGCCTGAATTGGTGCTGACACTGTCCTTCCTTCTGGAGGGTGGCTACTTTTGTTCCCCATGGTCCCTGTGTGTGTTGTAAAGTAGTCACTGCTCCAAGTTCACTCCTGTTATAGGCTACATCTCAGTACGTATTGGTATACTTAACGTGAGATTGTAGTCCGTCACGGGAGTCTTGGAGGGTTGGCTACTTTACAACACACACAGGGACCATGGGGAACAAAAGTAGCCACCCTCCAGAAGGAAGGACAGTGTCAGCACCAATTCAGAGGTGATTTGAGGATCTACAGCTGAGTGATACACAAATAAGATACATTTTGTTGACCGAGTACTTACTGTAAATGCATTTTTAGGGCCGGTGTACACCTAGGTGACACCTCACTGTGCGGCAATCGTGCACGATTACACGCGGATTGCCGCGCAGTCAGGAGTCACCAAGGTGTGAACCAATCCCGCTGTGGGTGCCTTATTTTCTAATGGCACCCCAGTCGCGTCGGGCGGATCGTGCGCTTTCCCGCCGAGACTCCACCCATGCTTCCGCACATGGTCGTGGCTATAAAAGACGCGCAAAAAAAAGGTACATGTACCTTTTTTTTTTTCTGCGATTGCCGTGCTTATGTCACCCCATTGAAATCAATGGGGCCGCGCGGTAATCCCTGCCTGCATTGTGCATGACCGTGCGATCCCAGAACGCGGAGGTCTGCCCTGGGCCTCAAGGTCTATCTCCCGAGTCTAGTGTCACTTTTACATTACATTTTGTAGACCTAATCGGCTTTAGCATTAGAGAAATTACTGGAGTTCTCCTTTTTAATTGGTTATATTTTGTGATTTAAACAGTGCCTTGAATAAATGGAAATACAATTCTTAAGGCTCTCACTATCATCTACTACACATCACTATGTAATTTAAAATGGGTCCACTAAGTGTTTTGACAGCTTTGTTTCTTTTTGATATATAGTTGGAAATCGTATTGCATAGCGGGTGTATGTGTGAAGTGAGTTGTTCGTGTTCGGACTGTAAAATTGTTTTACCTCTTTGTTCTTTTTAAAACTTTTAATCAGCTGAAAGAAAGATAACGTCCAAACAAAAGACTTTACCAATTCCAGTTGTGTTCTCTTGATACCGCTCAGTCACCGTTTTGATAGAAACTGACAAGCCGAATGTTAATTAGTGGAGAGCGTACTAATGAGGATGTTAATGTTAAATAATCTGTAAAAGGAAAAGGAGTTGCTGGGCTGTAAATAAAAATCAGATGTGTTTAGTAACCTGTTTGAGGACTTAGTACTGCTGTTCCTTGAATAAAAGCTACCTTCTGCTATAGGATTTTATCTTAAAAACAACTTCTCTTTATGGCTTATGGTAAGTAAACCTAAAGGAGCGTACTGTCTGTTAATTAGTGCAGGAGACAGCTTCTTGCATTAATATGTGGCGTTAATTAACAGGAAGACTGATGTTGTTTTGTAATTACCACCAATATTTTTGGCCTACCGAGTGATTGAAGGTGAGTGGATGAGAATTGACTGATCGGTTTTGTTTTTTTTTCTTTTGCAGAAATATGGACCGACTGCTGAGGCTTGGGGGCGGTATGCCTGGACTTGGTCAGGTCAGCTTGATTTCTTTTTATTTTATTTTATTTATTTTTAATAATGTTTTAAAATGAGATATTAAGCTTTAGTGTTAACCGTGTTATGTATATTGAACAGTTACACTTTTATTCATCTCTCCCTGATCCCTTGAGATATCTCTGCTCTATTCAATGCTATGGAAAGTTCATTCTCCTCTATAGTATGATTACAAAATCTTTATAGGATTAAATAAAAGTGTACAGTGGCTCTGCAGTCTCATCAGCCATGTCTTCCTGGATCTAGGACAGGTGTGCAAAGCCACTGGCAGAATCTTCAGCAACCAGCACACGTCCAGGTTTGTCAGATGCTTCAGTCCACCCATTGCTGTACTGTAGTTCCATGTGCCAGCTTCTACGCCAATACTGTTTTCCGGGGAAGTGTCATCTGGAGTACGCGGTCCAGTTCTGGTCACCAGTACTAAGAAAAGATGTCCTTAAGTTGGAAACGGTGGTCTAGTATTTTAAAATGCTGCTACTTGTTCCCTTATCCTTTACTACTCTTGAGCTATTAAGGCTCTGCCCGGTAAGGGCTCATTCACACCGAAAGCGTGTGCGTTCCAGAGCGGTAGCTGCTGGAACGCACACGCTTTCGGTGTGAACAAGGCCTAAAGGCTGCTCTGTTATATGACTTGCAGAGTTTCTTATATTTTTACTTAAAAGAGAACTATGGGGTAAGTGTTTTTCCCCATAGTTCTCTTAGGGGTCACGGGAGGACATATACTGTATATCGCGAGCTACAGCTTGCGGTATACTGAGACCGCCGCAGCTGGGACGGATCCCAACAATCCACCCAGCTGCGTGAGTGACAGCTGGCTCTGCCTATATAGAGGCAGAACCAGCTGTGCCCGCCCCCTCCCCCATCCGTGCCTCCAGTCAGCGCTGGAGGATCAGAGCGGGGAGGCGGGGGGAATCCCTGCGGGGAGCCATGACCGACAGTCACCGCTCTGCAGGGGGATGATCAAGAAGTGAGCGAGCGACGGTATGCGTTTGCTCACTTCCCGAACATTTGAGCCGACGTGTGACATTTTCGTTGTCACACGTTGGCTCGAACTATGAGGGTCAGTGATTTTCATTCACATCATAGTTCTCCTTTTAATGATTGAGACTAAGGAACACAGGCTATGCCTTTCTCTTACAAAATAGTTGGCATGTTTTGGTTCAATAAATAGGAGTCTTGCCAACAGGGTTTGGTTATTTATTCCCATTAGGTGCTTTGAGTAGCAGCTAGTTATTGGTAGAAAGTCTCCAGGCCACACTAATCCTTATATCAAATGTCTAGAGGGGATGTATTCTTATCGCCCATTGCAACCAATTTGAATGTCTCGTCACTCTGTGCTTCACCTTCATCTCTCTGTTCAGCTTTAAGAATCTGTATATGAGCAGTCATGTGTATTTGTGGGGCTTGTACTTCCTGCATTAAAATGTACCAGTTGTATGTTCACATGTCCTATATAGTTCTTTGAGAACCCTGAAGCCTGGAGCGTGCTAATATGCAAATGTGAAGCTGTCCATCATAAGTTTAGACCAATGTTGAGTCGTAGAAGAAGGGAAGGTGCAGAGCCAGCAAGACTCAGTTTCCATTTGCATAAAAGTGAAAACAAATGGCTCAAGATTTTACTCTTCCTCATTGGTTTGATAGTTATATGATCTCAGCAAGGGTAATTGTGTTTTAGAGAAAGATTTCTAATTTATGATTTGCTATAAATTATTATAATTTTTGGTCTCTGCTGAAATCATATATTTCACGCTGTAAAAGTTGACATCAAATGAGCCAAGAAAATGTCTAAAGAGCCAGGTTGCCGGTAATACTATTACAAAAAAAAAAAATGTTTCATTGACCCTAAAGAATTCCTGTACTGGTCATAAAACGATCAGTGTGAGACAAACGCTCAATTGTAAGTTTAATTAGACACCTGATGGTAGTTGTAAGAAAACACCACTACTGGAACCAATGATAATGCCGAAGTTTATATGCAGATACTGACTTTACGTAAGTCATTCTTTAAAAAGGCAATGGCACACCTCACCTTCTAGCTCCCCACCCACCTGATAGTGATTGGGTGCAGTGATGGGTTGAACAGATATTGAGCACTAAAATGTGGATGCCTACTGTCCCTATAACTGCCACACTGGCACAATTATAATTTTAATGTCTCCATGTTTTCCAGATTACTTATAAATTCAACTTGATTAGCTATTGGGTTTGTTTACCCACAACTAAAAACTGCATTTAACTTTAATATTTTAACACATTCCCTAGCAAATAGCGAATGATATGGATCAAAATGAGTACTTAATACATTTTGCCATCGTTGTCTTTCATCACTTTAGTACATGAACTTTGGCCCTGTATCTTAAAATCCTTAAGAAAAACAGCGGCTGCCTGTTGTAAAGAATAAAATGTCTAAGCTGTTTGCACCAACTGGCGTGGAAAAAAAGATTGCGTTCGCTCACATCTGCTTGCCTAACCCAAAACGATCGCTGGGCAGATGATGTATGAAATGACCAGCTGATGTGTGTACCTCTGATCTTTGTCTGTTTCCGTGACCTTTGTGCCGGGACGCCTTCAGACAAGTCAAGTTTTTTTTCTCACCTTGCACACACAATCTGACTACTGTTACAAGTTCTCAATGCGCATTTTAATGATGTCATAATTAACTTCCTTAATTCCAGCTTCTGTCATCTGTCTTTCTTGAAATGTGAGAAAATGTGTCTGAAAGGTCGCCATATGGGCTTCATACAATTGATTCTGCTGAGAAATTAGCAAAATGTAAATTTTCTTTTTTATTCTTTTGCTCCTGTAGCGCAAATCATATATATTGTATACAGTGCAACAAATAACACTTTCCTGCCCTGTTTTATAGTTAATAGTGCTGACTAAGATGGTAAACAATGGTATGTCTGGGGCACCAAATATATATTGGTAATGTATTGAATGCACTGTTTTTACTTGGTAATGGCTTTGTTACCGGTCCTTCTGAACTTTGTGTACTCAAGAACCATTCGTCACTGGCCCCCGGTGTTATGGTGAGCATCTGTAAACAAAATCCGTCACAAATTACCCCCACTTCAAAAACCTCTAATCGAAGTAGGCATTGCCTGACTCATAAGCTGTATATATATCGATAGATAGATATAGAGATATATATCTAGATA